TTCGCTACAGTAATATAATGTAAGATCTAGATTTCCAAGAATATTCTTAGTACATTACCCTAGAACCGGGATGGCAAACCTACGGCATACGTGCCAGAGGTGGTATGCAGAACCCTCTCTATGGGCACATGTGCCATCACCAACTGCTCTTCTGGTTTCTGGTGCACCTATGTGCGCCAGCCAGCTGGTCTTCACAGGTGCCTGAGCGCCTGAAAATGGCCTGAAAAATGGCGAAAATGGACATTTTGGGGGCAGTTTTCAGGCTGTTTTGGGGGCTATTTTGGGGTCCATTTTCAAGCTGTTTTGGGGCCAAAAATAGCCAAAAAACAAGCATGCATGAGCCTGCCAGCTGGACTTCGGGTTTCTGGCGCTCCGGCTTATGTGTGCATGCACATTCTTATGCATGCATGTGCATTCAGGTGTGGGCACTTGGTGCCAAAAAGGTTCCCCATCACTGCCCTAAAAGGTTGTTACTACATCATCCAAAACAACAAACTAGAGAAATTTAAATTCAATATGCTTACGAATCACGTGAGTCAGGTTGCTAATGAAAAATTCTCACACGGGCTTAATTTCATCTTTTTTAAAGGTTTCCTTTGTATTTTCCAGATGTGAGCTGCAGCTCCCTTCACATTTATAAATTTGATGTTTTGCTCATTGGAGACATCTGGTTCTTGTGCAAGAAGCGAAACAGGAATAATTTTATTTTGTTGCCTTTTATTCCCTACAACAGCAGTATACAGATTGGAGAAGAAAAACAAATAGCTGCTACATGTATGAGAACTGAAAGGAGTAAAGAAAACTATTAATGTACACATGCAGTTACATTTGCACAGTACTGCTGACAATGGTATCGTCTCTTTTGGGAATACAAGAGGGTCGGATGCAGATTAAGGTGTCAGAAATCTTAGCCTGATAAATGAAAAGTATAGTTAGCTGTGACATACGTGTTTTAACAGTTATATCATGACAACCATGAGCTCACTGTATAAAATCTGTAGGGGTTTTTGTCTCTTTTTGGGGGGGGGGGGTTTGCACTGCAATCTTCAGATCTCTACCGAAATGGGTAGCTCTCTTTCTCTTACAGAATCATGACAGAAGGCAGTTCTGCAGATTCAGCTACTCCTGGCAGAGTAATGCAATGAAGGAGACAGTTGTCATGTGCTGAATTTCTGCTGGATAAACCATTATGCAAGGCAGTAAGACTCAATCAGTTTGAAACATCTGATTATAGCAATAGCACTTATGTTTTAAAATACTCTCTGAGTGGTTTACAGTGTCAGCATCTTGCCCCCAACAATCTGGGTCCTCATCTTACCAACCTTAGAAGGATGGAAGGCTGAGTCAACCTTGAATTGATCAGGATCGAACTCCTGGCTGTCAACAGAGTTAGCCTGCAATGTGTCAAGTTCCAAGTAATACATCTCCAGCAATAAGAACTCTGAGGCAGGCATATTCCTCAAAGAACAGTTTATAGGAACATGCCATATTGGCACACACTTGGTGGAAAACCAGCTCTAAGTTCCTGCTAATTTTGCACCCAATTAAAATAAAAGCTTGTCTCTCCCCCTAAAGTCACCAGTCACATAATACAATCAGCATACAGTCCAGTTGCTAGGTAACCTCAGTCTCCACCTTCCAAACACCTGCAGAAATGTCCTTGATTCCCAGGGGAAATCATTTTATTTTGGCTACTGCTCCCCAGCTATCTCTATACC